ATCATGTCGGTAATAAGAGGACTATCATTATGTTTTAGCATCAGGTTGGGGAGGGGGCAGCCATAGCACACTCAAAAGGCAAACTGGGAAATACTGTCTACAACTCAAAACACAAAAGAGCTTCTAGAAATCCAGAAGACAGACAAAGAGCCCAAAAGATTATAGGGCGACTGATCTGAGTAGTTAGTTCACAGAAAACAAAAACAAACAGATGGCCCTTAAACCAAGAGGTGCTCCCACTCATTCAACAGGAGAGAAGTACAAACCAAAGCCACACTGAGATCCTCTCTCCTATCTATCAGAGTAGCAAAAATCGCAAGGTGTGGCAAAATACTGCTGGGAAGGCTGAGTAGAAACAGGCCCTTCCACACATTCCTTGGTACAAGCAAGACATGAATCTCGTGATGCCTGCCGATACTGGGATGCACTCACACTTTGACCTCACAGTCTCACTTCTGGGTATCCATCCACACACAAGAAATGGTGTGTGAACACGGCTATTCACAGCAGCTTTGTTTTTAATGGTAGAAGATGAAACCACCCAATCAAGTAGCAGGGACCTGGGCAGGATTCACTAGGGTATATGCAACGTTGAATTCTATATAGTTGGAGAAGGATGAGGATGGCTGAGGTCTCCACAAGATAAATGTGAAAAGGCATTGTTCAGAATAGGGGACAGCATATGTGACCTTCTGTGATATTGTGTTGTGGGGGTTATAAAAATACATATTCATATTTGCTTGTACTAGAATCTAATACAAATGGCTGCCGACAGGAGAAAGAAGAAACCAAGTGGACAAGGACAGAGGAAAGGGAACTGTTCAGTGAAGACTTTTTCATTTCACTGGGATTACTGATCCATGCTAATAGATAACCTATTCTAAAAAAGAGCACTTTAAGTAGGAAAGCTGTATTTCTAAATTCTTAAATTAGTTATGTCACACAAAACCACAAATATCTGAATGACTAAGGATAATAATACATGATAATAGCAAGGGTAATTTTAGTTGGGCATGGTGGCTCATGCCTGTAATCCTTGGAGGCCAAGGCGGGAGGATTGCTTGAGCCCAGAAGTTCGAGACCAGCCTGGGCAACATAGCAAGATTTCCTCTACAAAAAATAAAAATAAAAAAATTAGCCAGGTGTGGTTTCATGCACCTATAGCCCCAGCTACTCAGGAGGCTAAGGCAGAAGGACTGCCTGAGCACAGGAGGTTGAGGCAGTGGTGAGCTACGATTGTGCCACTACAAGTCAGTATGGGTGACAGAGTGACCCTGACTAAAAAAAAAAAAAAAAAAATAGTAATTAAGAAAACCATTTTTTATACATAGTACTATCTGCAGGGTGTCATTCCTGATCATTGGTAGGAACATAAATCAGCTCCTAACAGCCGTGTGCATAGTGGGGCATCTCTACAAGTGTCACCTGGAATCACATGACTCTGAGTGACCGTTTCATCAGGAGATACCCAGAGGTTTCCAACATCAGGCACCCATTTTATCTTGCCTTATTGCAATGCCAATCTGGACACTGGCTTTTTTATTTTATTTTTTTGAGTTGAGGTGTCATTCTGTCACCCAGGACAGAGTGCAGTGACATGATCACAGCTTACCACAGCCTCGAACTCCTGGGCTCAAGCAATCCTTCTGCCTCAGCTTCCTGAGTAGCTGGGACTATAATCCTCATGCTCCAGCCTCCCAAAGTGCTGGGATTACAGGCATAAGCCACCATGTGCAGCCAATGCACTCATTTGAACTACATTCATTTGTAAGGCCACATTTTTCCTTGGCTAACTGGAATATAACTTTCTTATAATACATGCACTTTAACTTTCTTCTGAACTCCATTTTTTTAATCAGAAAAACCAATTTGCTTGGAATTCAGCTCGAATATGAACAAGTTTTGTAGTTTAAAAAGCCATTTAAATTTCTTTTCTCTTGCTGGATTAAAAAAAAATAAGTACCTCCCAAACTCCCTTTATGAAAATACATGGCTGGGATCGGTGGCTCAGCCTGTAATCCCAGAACTTTGGGAGGCCGAGGCAAGTGGATTGCTTGAGCCTGCAGGTTCAAGACCCACCCAGGGAACTTGGCGAGACCTCGTCTCTACAATAAATCAAATAAATTAGCCAGGCATGGTAGCGCATGCCTGCAGTTCCAGTTGCTTGGAAGGCTGAGGCGGAAGGACCACCTGAGCCCAGCAGGTCGAGGCTGCAGTGGCCGGGAGCGTGCCACTGCATTCCAGTCTGGACAACAGAGTGAGACTCCAACTCAAAAAAACAAAAAGGAAAATACACATAAGCAAAAAGGGCTTCTTTTTAGGGGACTTTGCATCTGCTCTAATGTAAAACTTGTATAAACTATACTTACCAAAATATCTTTTTAAAAATATAAAATGTATCATAGGACGGAATTAAACTCAGAGCTCAAAGATAGCAAGTAGCTCAACTCAGGAGCATGGTAACAGCAATTCCTTCCCCTGCTACTTTGGCTGGTTCATGTCTGAAGTATGTTTTTTCTTAGTTCTGCTTTTTACTTTAGGCTTTTCCAGGAAGGCCCTCAGAGGTATCTTCTTAGAAGGTATTAAGAATAAAGTGATTCACTCCCTGTGCCTTTTTGGGTGTGGACAGAGGATTCCACAGCTGAGAGCCGAGGCCAGGTCTGTGTGTGTAATTTCTTTCCTGATAGTGACATGCCTGAGCACATGATCTTGTTTGCACTTGATCTCATCTTGAAGCAGATGCTTGTGGAAGCTCAAGCAGACTAGTCACCCTAAGATTACTGCTGTCTGACATCAGCTATTTATTCAAAAGCTGGTAAGAAGTCCTAGCCATCTTTTCTCTTATTCGTGTGCCATGACACTGTGTACATCAACAAGTAGAGCATAAACTCAATCAGTCCAGGGCAGCTTAGAAAAGAAGTTTTGGAATATTTCAGGGGCACTTGTCAACACACTGAATAGGATTCCATACCGCTCAAAATCCTAAATTGTACTTCATATCAATAAATGACATCATTTTTCTTCACAGATTTCCATTTAAAAAACTGATTATTGAAAAGAAAAATAAGGATATCAAAGTAGAAAGCTTGAATTTTAGTCTTCAACTATTTTTTCTGAAGGTTTATGGATTTCCTTTGAATATAAATTACTGTCAGCTCAACTCTTAAATTTAAATCCCTAAAGTATGACTCCAGTATTCTCTGAAAACTTATAAACCAAAGTAGAGAAAAGTATTTAATAATCCCATTTGTGTATTTTCTAAAAATATTAAAAAAGATCAGGATCTAATCTGTAATAATCACAGGTAGAGACCTTCTAAAATTTCAAAACTGATCTTAAAATTTTTGGTAAATGTTTACCTGTCTTTTAAAACTTCAATTCATGCAGAAAAGGGATGTGTCACAATATGAATGAAAAGATATATTTCCCTGAAATTTCTTTAAAGAAAAACACAACGTACACATTTGAGAATAAAAAATACAAATACTTATGCTTTTTCCATGTGTGAACTGAATTGCACAATCCATACACATATAGAAAAAATATGTGATTATTTTTAATGATTTATGTATAAAAGAAAAATAAATTTTATGATACAATTTGACAGACTACTTCATACAAAATTTTACTTACAAACAATGTATGCAATTTTTTGCAACCCCAAAATTCTACTCATATATACAAATTCATAAAAGGCAGACATCTCAACTTGAAGCAAAACAGGGTCCACTTTGGGTTATGGCTAAGTCATTTAAATCAATAGAAAAGAGACTATAAATATGTGAAGGACTAGTTAACTAATACCCTTCCCTCCTTCCAAAATGTTTTTATAATATAATATGATCAAACAGAATTTTATGGTACACTATAGAAAGGAGAAAAAGACCAGTGTTTCAGAATGGCAGATAATAATCAGACCTGAACTTATTCAGCTTAGAAAATCACATAACTACCTTAGTAAAGAATTTATCTTGGAAATTGCACTAAGAAAAACCCAACTGTGCCATTTGTGCTAATCCTTAAAGAAACAAAACTTTCTCAGGCAATGCTCACACCTTAAATGGCATTCCTTAGTTTACATAATAAACACAATATCCAGAAATAAAAGTATTAGGCCCCAGACTTAAGGCCCATACTATGTCTTCAAACACACCGAAATCCTTTATACAATAACTTAAGACTTTACTAAGTATTTACAATAGTATATGTAAGTGAAAAATTATAAACCATGTTTTATTTTTAAAAAACGTGTGCTTTAAAAAACAATTTCCCAAAAAATGGTTAACATCAAAAAAATTTTATAAATTGGTGCATCCTTTTAAGTCTTCCTTACACAGTTTTTCCTAAGTTACCTGTCTCTCAGGTACATAGGTGCATAGACCTATGCAAAAAAAAAAGGCATGATGCCAATGCCTTGTAGAGCCAGATCCTCTTGTTCAAGAAAACAAGGACTCCAAGGAGCTGCACTAGCATCTACGTGAGGAAAACCAGGGCAAAACGTTGAAGAAAGTGGGGGTATAGCCTATGACAATTTCATGTCCAGACAATATCATAATGGCCATCCTGAAATCTCCTTTTAAAAATCCATGAACGTAGGGCTGAAAACACAAATAAAAGGTAATAGAGACCAACAAGAAATTTGCATAGAAGTATATGCAATTACAAAGAAGTAAAAAACAAAAAATGAAAACAAAAAAAGTCAGTCAATATGTACCTTATTAGGATACGAGCTAAAATTAACACTTTCAAATGAAAATTAACTAAAAATATAATTTATTCCTTCTCAGGACTCATTCTATTTATAATGTGCCTATCAAAAAGCATACAGTCATCCTTCATCCAGTGTTGACCTCTGGAAGTCCTTCCACTGAACTGAAATAAAGGACTACTGTTTCCTTGGTATACCAACACCACTTACCTGTTAGAGAATTCTGGTACAGAACTAAACAGGCTACAGCAGAAACACAAAGAACAGGCTTGCAAGAAAATTTCTCACAAAGTTGTTTGGAAGAGCTACTTATAATTAGCAAGTATTCCAGCTGGAAGGAGGTAAGGAAACAGTCTTTTTATATACTTAATATGTCTAAAGTTTTAAACCTCTGAACATTAGTTGGATAATAACATTGTAAACTGTTCATTTTCTTGCAAACTGGAACTCAAAGAGTAATGATTTTCTATCTTCCTTTTTACTTTAAATCTGAGGTGATTTTTCATCTCTGAACTTTTGAGTGTTCACCTTCTAGAAGTCAAATTGATACTATACACCATCTTCTGGATTTTTTCTTCATTCTTGAGGATGTTGGCCTTCACAGCACAGATCTTGTCTTGCTGGTCTTTGATTAGCTGCTCCAGTTCTGCCAGCTCGGCCTTTAATGGCTCCACGGCACAGTCTGTGATACTGATGGAGAATAAAACCAGTAGTTCATCAGCATCTTGTCTCATTTTATATTTGCTTCTTAATTAAACCACCAAAAGACACCAAAAGTAATTATTCATTTCATTCATTTTTTTCACAACTCCTGCCATAACCAAAAGTACAGTCAAACATGAGATTTACAAAAGAAGAGGCTAATATTTCTTCAGTGATGGGCTCGAAATACTTATATACGTTAACAGACAGCCTCTGGGGATGGCAAAAAGGTGTGCAGCAAAGTCCCCATCAACACTCAGAGAGCCACTTCCTGCACAGGTCTCCTTCCTCACCTGGGGACCACAAGAAGAGGTTTGCAGGGCTAGAAGGGCTCCTTGCCAAGATGTGTCATGACAGTGACAGGAGACCTTTTGGTTGTTGGGCTAAATACTGGGAAAAGTCTAGAATATATTTGCCAAAGCTGAAGTCAAAATTAACCTTTCTCTTTAGGTTTCTTAAAGCATATAAAAACAAACTAAAATACAAAACAAAAAATAGCAGTAGTTTCCAACTATCCTACCATAAAGCAAAATCAGGTTTTATAAGGATGTCTGGGATGATACTTTTTAATACTTTAAATCAAAATGTAAGAGGTACTAACCAAGTATCATGCTAGAATAGGCACCAAAAAGTTCTTCATGTTGTATTTTTTTAATTTTAAAGAATTTTTTAAAAAATAAGCAGACGAGCTGGGTGCAGTGGTTCATGCCTGTAATCCCAGCACTTTGGGAGGCAGACGCGAGAGAATTGCCTAAGCTCAGGGTTTGAGAACAGCCTGAGCAACTTGGTGAGACTTTGTCTCTACAATAAAAATAAAAATAAGTTAGCCGGGCGTGGTGGTGCATGCCTGTGGTTCCAGCCACCTGGACGGCTCAGGCGATTGCCTGAGCCCGGCAGGTCAAGGCTGCAGTGGCCATGAGCGTGCTACTGCACTCCAACCTGGTGACAGAGTGAGACTACAACTCAAAAAAAAAAAAAAAAAGCGGACTAATAATAAAGAGTAGAACTTCATTATCACATACGTTTTGTTATATAAACTTTATAGATCTATTGAGCCAAATCATATTTTCTGAAAAAAACAAAGATTGATATACTTACATGCATTCCAGATTTACTGATTATAAATACAGGATATCAAATACTTCCTTAAAATAAATCTCACTTTTTAGTGGCTATTATATTTCTTTTACAGTCATCATTTTAAATCAGATTTACCAGTATTTATTTTAAAGTATAAAATTAAAACATTTTCTAATTATAAACAGTTATAAAATTTTAAGGATTGTGATAAGACACAGGGAAAAAAAATGGCAACCAAACTGCAAAGTTCTCTGTATTTTTTTATGTCTAAATCTATTTTGTGTAGGAAGATAAACTCCAGATAGTTTCTAATTGCTACAAAGAAATGGTAGAATGAAGAAATACCAGTTCTTTTTTGGGGAGAAGGCAAGAAAGAGAAGGCTGCAAGGTCATGATTTCTTGGGAGATTTCTCCCTGGGTAGACCCAGTGGGTGTCCCAGATTGCTTGTCCCCTATTACTCCCCAATTCGTGCCTTCCCACCCCTACCTCTGCTCCTTCTGCAGGGCCTCTTTCCCCATTCCTTCCCCCAACACCCTGATCTCTGCTCCTTCTGTAGGGCCCACCCTCCCTTTTATCCACCCCCACTACCACCCTTTCTGCTCCTTCTCAAGAGCCCCCCACCATTATCTCCTTCTCCGCTACCCCCCACCTCTGCTCCTGCTGTAGGGCCTCCGCGTGCTGCCTGTTTTCATTGTGCCACAGCTGCAGCTCATTCTGCATGGCGTCCATGTCTTCCTGGATGTAGTCCATGATCTTCCCCAGGGGAAGTGCACTCTTGCACAGGGTCTGGATGGACACACGAAGCTTCTCTATCTCCTTGGAAACAATGTCCTTCTCCTTCTTCCACACTGACTCAAAGATGGGCGATCTCTCCTACAGTCAGGGAAACAAAGAAGAGGAAGATGCATCCTCAGTCCTAAGGCAGGATGGGGGCTTGCTAAGCACACTGCCACAGAGATGGGAGGAAAGGCACAGGTGGGGAAAGTGTTGGCTGTGGGACATCTTATTTCTGAGACAAAGGGAGAGCAACACCGCCCAACAGAGTAAATGTGAGGTGCCAAGTGCCACTGAAGCACATGGCAGTGCCAGGGAGGGGCTGCTCCGTCCTTTCTCAGAGGGGGCAGGGGTCTGTCTTCACCTGGAAATTCGTCCGAGGGGCAAATTTCTATATAGGAAAGTTTAGTTTCCTATATAATTAAGTAAAGTTAAAACTAACCAGAAATTTATTATAATCACTGTTATAAGGGCTTAGTAATGCAGATACTTTTTTTAAACTGGCAAAAAGAGGGCCAGACCCTGCAGCCACTTGAATGGCCCACCTTCCATCCCAATGATTCCGAAACCCAGCCTGCCAAGGGAGAGGGAGAAAGATATCTGATGGAGAGGAAGAAACTGGTAACACAGAAATGAAGGGATGGAGAGTTTGCAGAAGAAGGGCAAAGCTGAAAGTACCCAGCAGACAGTACCCAGCAGATAGAGCACTCAGACAGGATGGAGCTGGTTGGCTGGGGAGGGTACAGAGTCCTGGGGCTGAGAGCAGAGTGGAGGGAGTAGGCTCAGACAGCAGCAGGCAAAGAAGGTGAGAAGACACAGAGACAAACAGAGAACTGCATATAGTTTTGGCCAGGGGTTCTTGTACTCTTTGACAAGCAATGTTTAGAATTTTCTTCATATGAGCTTTTATCACAGACATTTCTGAATTGCGAAAATTGATGTAAGCTGTTAAGAATCAATAAACCTGGGACAACTTTCCTGGGAAAGTTAACACTGTTTCTTTAAGAAGCTCTCCTTGGATACCCCCACTCCACTCTAGACTGGCTAAGGTACCCTTGCCTCACACCCACTTTCAGAATGAGCTAATAAGTACATTAAGTTGTAATGAACTTCTTGTTTCAGTTTGAACGTATCATACCTATATAACCACTTGCATTCCTTCTAATGCTGGTTTCAGACTCTAGGATCCAGGAGGGAAGGACCTCATGTCTAGATTCATTGTGGTCTATAAGCTCTCAGTATATGTGAAATGAACTAGTGAAGCACATACATGATTTACATATATAGAGCCTAGCTCCACCACGTACTGACTTGAATAAGTACAAAGAAAGCCTTAGCATAATGCTTGGCACATTAAAAACAAAAACAAAAACCCAAGCGAGGCACAGTGGCTCACGCCTGTAATCCTAACACTTTGGAAGGCGGAAGTGAGAGGATCGCCTGAGTTCAGGGGTTCAAGACCAGCCTGGGCAACTTGGTGCAACCTCATCTCTACGATAAATAAAAAAAATTAGCTGGGCGTGGTGGTATGTGCCTGTGGTCCCAGCTACTTGGAAGGCTGAGGTGGAAGGATCGTTTGGGCCCGACAGGTCGAGGCTGCAGTGGCCCTGATGTGCCACTGCACTCAAGCCTGGGCAACATAGTGAGATTCCTACTCAAAAAA